GTGTGATTGTACATTAGTGAAAGCAATCATATGTGGAAATTGTGAGCTGAGATTACAGCCAACAAATGATTCACAACAAAGAGGGAAGTTAATTTTGCTGAGTTCCATCAAGCCAGAATGTTACCTGATCTGAAGTGTGCTCACACACAAACACACCATGGGCTCCGAGAGTCCTGTGTATCAGTATGTAGACCAGCTGGTGTTGCAGCTGTATCATCCTCCTACACTTCACTCTGTGCTGCTCCTAATCAGGTTTCTCACACACACAAATGTTTGCGGCCCCTCTATCTCTGACACTCACTGACATGACACATTACCCAAATGCTATCAAATGTCTGACTGTTTTTGTGTCATTTCACCAAACTTATCATTGGAGACAGATTTCCAAGAATTTGACATTGGCCAGTAGTTTTGAAAAATTCTTGTATAACTACTTACGGTACCTGTAATATTTTATTACATCACTATTATTCAATTAGCAGCATCAGAAAAGTAATATTTAACATACTTAAACCAATTTTACACATGAACTTCATTTACTTGAGTGGTGAGAAACACTACTGAGGAGCAGGTCAACCGCTGCGTGTGTTAAAACAGTACAATGTTTCAATTTTTTACATTAACAAAAACTCCTCTCAACTCCTTTAAATTTTTGAAAGTGTAATACCCCCTTTAAGATATAAAGCTAGATTAACTAAGATTTAGCACAAATTTAGATAAGTGATTTCTCCCTGCTGTAAAAATGATAGCATTAATAATCTCCCTTTCTAAAGTAACTATACCTGGTGTTCTACCCATCAGATTTGATCTTGTGCTGATTCAATTACCAGACATCTGAAACAATCGTGGGAGGAAACATGTTTACTTGTTTTTTCTTCCAGTTGTACTCTGCTTACCAACGCCTACACACAGACAGGGGAGCAACAGCCTAATTAACAGGCTATTACTCTCCTGCTCTCTGGAGTCAGTGTGTGCATGTGTGCACGCACGGTTGTCTGTGTCTTTTATGAAAGACGTGACTAAATCTCATGACAGCTTCATCTGAGCTGCAAAGGGCCAATAACATACAGCACACTGCCCACAATCTGTTCATACACAGATGCACACACACCGTCAGGTACACAGTGACACGGTGGACACACACAGACGTGACCCAGATCAGGCATCCCAGCAGCGCTGTGTTGCTGAGGTGGATAATTTTATTTTAGGAGACTGGTCCCAGCTCCCTGAGTTCATTTCTCAATGTCACTTTTTGACAAATGGCTTGGTTTCTTCTCTGTGCGTGTGCGCGCACACACACACACACACACACACACACACACACACACACACACACACACACACACACACACACACACACACACACACACTTTTTTTTTTCTAAAATATGTTGCCTGGATCTTTCTGTCTGCTTATTTTATCTGTTGATAGTGCTTGCAAACTAAACTTTTATTTTTCCCAAGAACGGTGTCAATTAAAAATGATTTTCACATTTATTTTATGCTCCTGTCTGTTTAATGCTGTAAAAACACTGCTTACAGCTGTGAACAGGGTTTCTGGTGACAATGCCAAAATATTTTATCATAATTTGCTTAATTTTCATGAAATCAATGTTAGTGGCTCCAGAAATTATGGAGACCCCTTAACATTTTGCTTACTAGATTCTGTAGATTTAATGTTAAATAAATAAAATTACTTTTGCTGATCAGGTTACATTCAATAACCCATAATAAAAGTGAAAACATACACTGAAACATTTTTCCAGTTATTAAAAATTGGTTATTCAGTGCATCTTAATGAGAAAATGTACCGCATCTATTTGAAGCCAATGCCCAAATCATCATCGCCCTATCATATAAACTAATTTAAGTATAATTTTAATGTCGTTTATGCTTGAAATTATTTTCTATTTACTGTCACCGTTTCCTTGTTTTTAACGATTGCTTTGTGGATTGTGAGAAGTGCCATACACATCACAATCACAAACACACACAGAGTTCCCAGCATCGGTATAGAAACACCACCAATCAGGAAGTATCAATTTTGAAATGCTTGGAAATGTGTAGGTGACAAATGCAAGTTTTCTAAAAATACCTGCAAATAGCAACAATTGTGTTATTTCCCACATGCATGTGTGCTACATATGTATGTGTGTTGAACGCAATATCAGCGATCGCCATGACAACCCTAAATCTCTCCTGAGAGAAAACTGTGGTGCTGACAAGCAAATTAAATGTTTTAGAAAGTGACCTGACCTGGCCAGGAGAATTTGTAACAAAGTACTGTACCACACACACACACACAGAGTAGTTAGGACGACAAATGGGCAAGCTCCCATGAAAACAAATGTAGAATTAAAAACCATCATTAACAAAATTCAACTATGACTTTCTGTGAAAATGTTTAAAACATACCGATACTGTTACTTTTATGGTTACTTGAATCCATATGGCAAATAAATATAGTATTATTTTCAGAGAGGAAATGAAGAACAAAGGAAGGGAAGAAGATAGAAGTAGGAGACAGCAGAGAATCACTGAGAAGAACAATTGAGATAAAAGAAAATGAAGAAAGAAAAGGGGGGGATGTCAAACCTGAGGACGACTGTCACAGCTCTGAGGGGTGCAGCGTTCTGGTGACGGTTGTTATGGCAATCATGAGACAGACGTAGGAGACAGCAGGGGGTGATGATGTCACAAGAGCAAAATAGACTTGCAGAGTGATGATAAACATCTAGTGTTTACCCCGGTGTCTCCCCCCCCCCGCCCCCGTCAGGCCTTTTACTCCTTCCACTGCCGGCCAGGAGGGCAGACACAGAGCTCCAGTGCTTTGAGTCCAGAACTGTGCTGTAAATCAATACAGCGTCCCTAATAATCTGACCCTTCCGGCTCTGAAAGTGCCACATCTTACAGTTTTTAAAGCCCTTTAGAAATAAAGCTCCAAATAAAAGAAGGGGGCTGCACAACCAAACTGACATTTCCTTTTCTTCATTGTGCAATAGTCCTTCACTTTGAAGCTGTTTAACCAACAAGTGTCAATCAACTTATTACCCACAGGCCCCTAACAGATTTGAACCAGTTGCTTAGAAGTTTAAAATGCAGCTGCTGGTAATCAATTGCACGATAATTCTTTTGAATGCTAATGATCTATTAAAACCATGAAAGGAAGACAAAGTAAGATTTATTCTAACATATTGAGCACAGTTTCAAAAGAACAAGTGAAAACGTACTGCTATAAATATGTGTGGTTCATTCCCTCAGGACAACAGGGGGGATATTTCATATAATATACATTTCCTTGACTTTATGCCTTGAAGAAAGCCATTTACCATTTATTCGTAATAAATCATGTGAGCTTAGTGTGCAGCCATTTACATGATTTTTGATTACAATTTGTCATGAGCAGCACCAGTTTTCAGGTGTGCATTCACTCAGCTCTACTCTGACCATCCTGTAGCTTCATATTTACCGGACAGAGCGGTTACTGATCTTCTCATGCAACTCTTGGTAATAAAACAAATAAGTGTATTCCTCAAAACTGCGGCTTTAATTTACAAACCAAAAAAGTAATAAAATCACTGTTGTTTGCAAGCTTACACGGCTGCAAGTGACGGATTCGTCAGGTGTCAGTAAAGCATTTTATACTTCAAGAAAGACAGAGTGTGTCAGTATGACCAAAGATGAATCAAAGAATTCTTAGAAAAGGAAAGGAACACACAGATGTTTTGTGTGTGTGGATACAAGGTGGGTGGATTCTCAGCTTTTATAATGTGCTTGTGTAACCTCTAACTTTGGCAGTGACAGACCAACTGAACAGAATGGGACCAGGTGAACCACACACAGTTGCAATTCTATACTTGTGAGTAGGGGTCTGCAATATAGCCTCAAATTTATATTACAGAATTTCTAGGGGTTTTTTTTGCATGATACAGCCCCCTTCCCGTGCTAATGGATAAATCTCTCTCTTTAATTTGACACTTCAGAGCCTGAAGTGTTTATCTTATTGTAAATCAGCTGAAAAGGCTCTCCAAGCACGAGAGCACTGTTACTACGTTATGTTCAATTTATGAAATGTAAGCCGACAAGTTAATATGGTACATTCTGATTGTGTTGCCCCTCCACCCTCATCTCTCATTTCAGTTTTAAAACTGGTAAATAACTGAACTCTGCAGGCTTTTCTCTCTACGTAATGAGGTCCTAGTCATCCAAAGACCGACGTCATTTAAGTTATCTAACCAAAGTTTAAATCTTATCGCCTACACCCAAAAGCACACTGCTAGAGACACATCTCACCACACACAAACACAGACGATGCAGCATCTAACAGCACTAACAGATGATTCACTGGTTATGCAATACATACTGGCAACAGAAGAAATGAAGTGAGCAAAATACAACGGAGCTGAGAGATTTTTTCTTTCCTGAGGGGGATACAGAAGATCGAACGCCACTGAGGTGGCCCAGTGTGATCACTTACGGACAGTAAAGCTACTGGTTCAGTTTGCTCTAATGGCAACATTTTACAAAATCTGCAAATACAATTTTATATGTCTGGCTGATAAGAAAGAGAAATTAGAAGCTGTAGATTGCTCTTGAAGGAGAAGTAAACAACAATAACAGAAAACTAAGTCAAACCATGGGGAGCTCCTTTTTATCATATTTTATAATAGTGGCAATTAGAATAAAATCTCGTTTTAAACTTCATAAACTGTAATATATTAAAGACAGTACTCAGTCACACAAAACTTAACATAATGAAAGGTTTATGACCATTTATGACGCACCTGTCTTGAAACCAACTGTGAGGCATAGAAGTTAAACTTTCTCCCAGTTGTGGTCCAAGGTTATTCTAGGACACAACCATTTACACTTAAAAATGCATTTTTGGTATTAAAAGGTTAAAAAGGTTTCACGTTATGACTGATGTACACTGGTTTCCGGTATGTTCATTAATGGTAAGGGAGCAATGTGAGATGGCCTCAGTCCACCATTTTGACTGACCAGCTATGCCCTCGTCTTCATCATCTCCATCGTTGTATTCATCTTCGTCACTGATGTAACAGATCGCTTTCTCCCTCTCAGACATCCCGACCTACAGGCTGCTGCTACCTCAGCATGGTCACACTGCACACTCCTAAAGCAAAGAGAACAGACACAGCTGAACAAATGAATGAACCAGTGTACAGGGGAGACACAAGCAAACACAAAATGAATAGAAATTCCTTTATATGATTCATCTCTATTCCTCAGCACAAACACTTTAAAGCTTTTTGCATGAGAAGATGGACAGTAGGATAAAAGGAAATCCAGGACAAGTAGAAGATCATTTGTTTGATGCTCATTATGAAGCCATTCATGCGGCATCCGAATACAGGGTAATTTTGCGTAGCTTAAATCAATAGCACACAGTCAAATCCTACCTTTCATACACAAAGTACACTCACAGGAACTACAAAAATCACATCTGTTATAATTGTCATGCAGTATGTTGCCCAGTTCCAGTGCAATAAGATGCATGTATTAGTGTGAAATCTGCTGTGGCAGATGCCTCTTAGCACAACTGAGTGTTACACACAAAGATGTGTGAAGACTACATAGTATAACGTATACAGTTAGTATAAAGACTTGAGGACCTAATTTTTCTAAGACGACTTGTGGTATTCGAAAAGAAAAACTGGATAAACAACTATACATCACAAAAGTTATCGTGCCCTCAACTTAGTTATAATTGTAAACACAGCCCTAAAATTCACACAGCCTCTCGATCCTAAAATGAATGTTCACACTGTAGAAACCATGCAGTGTTTTTGGCCCATGAAGGAACAGTCCCTTCGACATGTCTGTGTACAGCCATGGCAGCTTTATTTATATAGCATGTTTTATACACAGAGGCAATTCAAAGTGCGTTATATAGGCAAAAACCTTAACATTAAAACAATGAGCATTAATATCCAGAATAAAATCAATTAAGACAAAATATACATAAAACATTGTTAAAATTACATAAAAATAGTCACATAAATACAGACAAACATATTATGCATTCTTACAGTGTAATCAACATGTTTGTCCTGGATTTTAAACAAATTTTAATTAGGATAAAATTAGATAAGAGACTATTTAAATGTGTGATCAGCTGATGGCCCACAAAGTTACTACAACTGCCCTCTTAAATCTATATGCACTTTAAATCTAGAATGGAATAACAGTTCCTCCTGAGCTGATGCACAAGTGTACTGAATCATGGGAAAAACTGAAAGCCCACGGAGTGTTCCTGAAATAGAGAAGTTATTCAGGCAGCCAACAAACCGCTGCACACAGGGACAGGTTGAACGGCCATTAGACATCACTGCAACTAATTTGCACTGAAGCCAGGAAGGGGGTTAATTTCAACAAAAGAATTGTATATTTTGAGCCAATATTCATGTTCAAGTTGATTATATTTTCCCTTGAGGACTGGAAATACAGCATATTCTGGTGTCCCTGTTGCATAAAGTTTACCTCCAGGGTTTCAAATTTACTCAAAGAGGAGAATTTTAAAAGGCCATCTGTGTGTGAGAGAGATGTGACAAACATCATGACCTGCAGATGAAAGACAAAGCTCCAGAGGACGACAGATGGAGCTCTATCAGAGAGAAACACACAAAGAGAGGTGAAGAGCTCTCAAGAGCTTCTAGGATGCTTTTAAAGCTCCATCTCTCAGCAGCAGAAAAACTGCATGTGCATTACTTTCAGTTTTTGTCTGTGCCAGAGGTAAACACTCATAAACTGAAGCCACATGATACCACCATTTTATAATCCTGACAAAAAAACAACAAAAATCATAATCATTAAATTTCAAAACCTTTACAAAGGAACACGTTAGATCAAAAGCAGAGAGAGCAAGAAAATAAGAGCAATTCTCTATGAGACAGATGAACAGTATAAATCATGACTTCACCAAGCGTTATAGTGAAATGCTTCCACCACCATAAACAAGAATTACTATCGATGAGTAGTTTGAGCCAGCTCATCTTGCATAACTGCACACAGCAGACTACAAAAGAGGTAGCTACAGCCAGACTGAATTACCGGTTTCCCTCTGGCCGATTTTACAAGCCCCATAAATCAAACCAAGACAGACTTCATGGACTGGTTGCTGGATGTAGACCAGTCACTAAATACCCGGTGAACTCTGATGTTCTGGTGTCCTATATGGGGGGAAAAAACAGATTAGAGCTTTAGATTAAAGATAACTTATCGTACAATACTGCAGTGTAGTGGAGATGCCAGTAGCAAGGTGGTTTAGAGCAGAACAATCATTATGCTCTCACTGAATCCCATTTTATTCTACTCGTGTTGAAGGGAGTGAAATGAAACTTCTCATTTTCCTGCAAAACCTCCTTAAATCAGCTTGAGGACTGTGTGAAGGCCCCCTGACCACATGCTGGCAATCACTGTTGCAGCACTGATCCTCAGTACAACACAATTGGTGTTTCCTGCCACTGGTAAGGGAAACTTTAGCTTTACAATATTTACTCATCAAGGACAGGATGTGATTTGTAGCGTCAGTTGCTTTGTTTGACCCAAACATCCACAAAAAAACCTCCTCCCGAGGAACCTTTGTGGCGATATAACCATGACACACTATAATTAAGTTGAAGGTGTCAATTATTCTGCCCAGTCCATTTTTGGAGCTCTGTGTGGAAAGTATCAGATTAGATTTTTTTTCCCTTTGCTCTTTTGTGTTGTTCCAGTACAAATATAAGAAATAAACATAAGAATACCAAAAGAATGCTGCGATTGCAACAACTTTCTGGAAGAAGTGGTGCTTTATCTGACAGACATGCAGGGGTGCCAATATTTTTGGCCATGACTGTATAGCTGTATAGGTAATATTCACCATAATTATACCATTATAGTTTAGTGTATCGGCATGCTATGATTAGCTAAATAGAAAAAAAAATACAAACATAGTCAACAGTGATAGGAATTTACATTTTGCACCAATTTGGTCCTAAACCAAAGTACTGAAGAAGTAAAACATTTGGTGGCATGAGAGAAGAAATGCTGATGATGACCAAAGTTATTACACTTCATCCTGAAGGAGACATGAATGCTTGAACAGTTTCATGGCTATTGACCCAAATGTTTTCTCGACATTTCACTCTGAACCAAAAATACCAACTTCATGGTGGTGCTATAAGGGTCAGGAGATAAACAATGTCATTAGGAGTCATCCTCTGAGGGCCATGAATAAAATACTAAACTTTCATGGTGTAGTTGTTGAGATGCTTCATGCTAGAAAAAAAAAGCATTAATTATGTGCAAATATGTTTACACATAATGTAAATAATGTTTTTGTACAACTGTGTGTAATATTGCCATTCAAAGCCAAAAAGGATGACATGAAAAAAACCTGTGTTCACGAGGTTACAATGCCCAAAGTACCACCGGTACAAAGCAGACTATACTCTGCTACTATCATGAGTATGTAATCTAAAACTTTGCACTACAATGTGAAAAAAAGTTTCCTACTTGACAAAGAAATAGTGAAAACTCCACTGTGAAGGCAAGTCAAACTTTTCTTGTTCATGCCTTTAGACTTTAAAATAACAGTTACATAACATACAATATATGGCTGCTAATCTGAGCAGCTCCATGATATAGGTTAGACACCTGTTTCTATTTCTACTCATAGCATATTTGTCCCATATTAGATTCTCTCCACTGGTTCACTGTAAAATCCAGTATAGAATTTAAAATCCTTCTCCATAGCCTTTAATGACAAGGCTCCATCGTATCTTAAAGACCTCATAGAGCCTTATCAACCCAACTGAGCACTTCGCTCTCACAGTGCAGGTTTACTTGTGGTTCCTAGAGTCCACAGAAGTAGAATGGGAGGCAGAGCCTTTAGCCATCAAGCTCCTCTCCTGTGGAACCAGCTCCCAGTTTGGGCTCGGGAGGCAGACACCCTCTCTACCTTTGAGATCAGGCTTGAAACTTTCCTTCTTGAGAAAGCTCATAGTTAGGGTTGGCTCAGATGACCCTGAGTCTTCCCTTAGTTATGCAGCTATACTGTAGTTCTAGATTGCTGGGGATCTTCCCATTATGCTCTGAGCTCCTTTCACCACATATTACAGCCTCAAATCTTTTTGTGTTGGTGTCCATACTGTAACAATTACACACAAACATCAAAATGTGTTACCTACCAAATTTTACCTACTGCACAGACAGCGACATGTGAATCTGACATGGAAACACAGAGGTGCACAAAACTCTGAAAAAAACTTTTCAGCATACAGTATGAGCAGCATTTATCATAATGAACTAACCGGTTCTTTTAATCCATCCATTAACAAAATCATAGGACAAACTTGCTGTTACCACAGTAAGTACCTGCTATCATTACATCAAACAGGAAATTCAAACAGCATTTCATAACCACAGATCTGTGGACAATTTTGATACGACCCGATGATTGATGAATGATGTTTCATCTATAATATTAAAAGTAAAAAAGAAAAAAAGATGACATCTTCACATTGTCATTTTGTCTGAGCAGCAGTGCAAAACCCCAAGATATTTAAAATGTTATACTGTACGCAGGAAAGCGGCAAACGAGAATCTGGCACCAGAGAACTTTTACTTGCTTAAACGACTGTGATTAATCAGACTGATTTCTGATTGACTGTTTCAGATGTGTAACAAAAAATGGTTCTGAAATGAATTGCCAACAATACCTTTAATAAGGATGGTAACTAACTGAATAAGAAAAGCTCCCCTTTTTCAAACTAGATCTTAGTGAACAGATTCCAGTATTTATAGCCATGATTAACACAACTACGTCAGTAGCTTTAGCAAACATGTGACACGCAACCTTTTACAGAATATGAAGTTTAGAGTACAGCTGGATGAGCCTTTAAATAGTTCACGCCTTATAATCAGTTGTCTTGACTACATCTGCACTGCAGTCTATTTTTCTCTCTGCTTTGTGTAAAAATGGTGTGGTGTTCATGAATAATGTTATCTTTGAGAGAAAGCTATGGCCAGACAGAGACTTACTACAATGTGGCTTTTCACTGTTTCCTGGAGGTAAACAGGTCCTATTATAAAACTGTACAAAAACTATTGTTTTCTAGCATGTACATTTAC